TCAATAAATTGCGGCACACGCCAACCTCCACCGTGGGGTTTCAAAACAAACAGCAAAGCAAATTGACGATAAAGGAAAAATCTTCATCGACGGGTCTGAAGAAGAAGGAGCATTTGCGGGCTAACACTGATAATTTAACCACGAGAACTCCCACAGTAGACAATTCTAAATTCACAATTGGACGACCAGTTGATGTTGATAAGATAAACAGCAGCAAGAAAGTGTTAAATTCAAAGAAGGAAACAGCACTTAACAAGTTGTCTACACGACTCATTGAAGGTGGAAATGCAATCAAGAATGAGAATCAGCAGGAAAATCGGGACAAATTGAACTCTAGAAATACTCCTCCAACAAGTTCTCTGAGTACAATTAGACTGCCAGTACACGATGGAAAAGGTGATAAGCCTGTGATTGCGAAGAAAGAGACTGTTTTAAACAAACTTTCTACAAGATTCGCCGAAAAACAAACTTTGTAAGGAGAAATCCGGAAGAAAGGCGCTCGATGCCGAAACGATTAAAGATAGATGTACGGTCAGGACGAATTTTGAAATTGAATTGTGGAAGTGTAACGACATGGTACCTGGCCAGATTATCAAGGCCAAAGCAATTCAACGGGTTTTATTCAGACTTGGGTGTTCTTTAGAGGAAGCTTGCCTTCAGAATATATACAATATTTTCGGAGGAAAAAAATCCAGGTGTCCTACGTTATCAATTGTGCGATCCATGGAGCGGGTATTAAGACTAAAATCTAAGAAAAGACGTCGTCGGATGATGAGTATTTTACCTACCCTGGAATGTCAGAATGGAACAAAGAGTACGGATGATGTGGTGCAGAATACTGTGCATCAGCCATGCCCAATAGCTAAAGTGAAACCAATCTTGTCATCGGAAACTATTCAAACTATTCCAAAAATACAAGGAAAGCTGTCTACTAATTATGTCCATGCAAATGTGACAGAGAAGCATTCTTTTGCCTTTATTTCCCACATTGCGGTAATGCTAGAGTTAACTAGATCACTAGGTCCAAGCAATTTGAAAAGTTGTGACGATGAGGAACTTGTGCATAGATCGTTGAATGAAATAAAAAATAATCAGGATTCAAAGAAATATCTAAATGTAATTGATAGCCCGGAAGATATTGAAAATGAAGTCCCTGAAGTCTTAAAGCAGGTAAAGAACCTATTGGGGTGTGTGAAAGTGAAACAACCAGATCGAAGTTCTGTTTCAAAACATAGATGCTCTCATAATCTAAAGAGCCATTTAGCCAGTTATATAATATAATAACATCTATAAACAAAAGAGCACCTAAAGAGGCTCAGTAAAGTGCTGGCCTATTTACGCTTACGAAGACTCATTCGTTCAATATGTCTCAAAGTAAATAAACTCCTCCATCCTACTCTATCTCTTGCTAAGTTCACTAAGTTGGTAAAATCATCTTCATTTTTTAAATAAATTTGTCTCTTAAATAGGTCCTTTTTCACAATAATATCATACAAATTAGTCATGTGTCTACCCACTCGTCCCTTTAGTGTTTGACATCCTAGTGTAGCAAATAACAGAGACTGGTAGGCAGGTGTGTCGTTGTCACTGCGTAGAACATGACCTAGCATTGTCCACCGTGCCTTTTCCACTCTCTCGGAAAGGGGCCTGGTCTGGGTACGAGCGTAGAGGGCCTTGTTAGATATTGAGCTAGGCCAATAGATGTGTAGGATGCGCTTGAGGTGCTTCCTCTGAAGAACATCTACAGACTCTAGAACATGCTGAGGTACGGCCCAGCAGCAGCAGTTGTACAGGAGCACTGATACTACTAGTGAGTCGTAGAGTTTGATCTTTCTCTTCTCAGTTATCTGACTCCTCTCTGATCCCTGGCACCACAGGTTGTCAAATGACCAGAAGGCAGAGTTAGCTTTATTTATTCTATTAGTAACATCCTGCTCTGATCCAAGCTTAGTACCAAGAAACGTCTCGTTTCTCCACTCCTATTTTCCTCTTAGTTCATTATCCCACTCGTAACAGGCACCAACTTCTTCTAAATACACTCTGGTAAACTGTGTCTTTGTGTCATTGACAAAGAGACTCCATTCACTGAGAATATTCTTGGAGATCTGAAAGATATCCTGTAACTCCTCCATATCTTCACCAATCTCCTCTACATCGTCTGAATAGCCGGACTCAAGAGGCATGTGGTTATCGGCTATCAGAGGGTTGGGTCTTGAGGGGAGGACTGCTCTTATGTGCACTACAGCTCCAGCTAGATTGAGGGTAAACAATTTACCAGCTGTGCTGTCTCCTTGGCAGGCTCCTATGTTGAAAGAGAACATCTCTGAGTCAGTAGAACACACTCTGACTACTAGAGTGGTGTTAGCCATGAGGTATTGTACAAGCCTCAGGTCGTCTCTGGAGCATCCTGCAGCTTCTAGTAGTCTGATTGTTGTACCTCTGCGGATGGTATTGAAGGCAGCTGACATGTCGATACTCACTTTGTTCCATTCAAACTCCTTCTTCATTACTACAGATATGAGCATGCTCTGTGCCCAAACTAGGTCGGCACAGCTCCTGCCAGCTTTGTAGGCAGCTTGGAACGGTCCGGTGAAGTTGTCCACAGCTCTCTCTATTCTGTTTAGCACTATCAGTGACAGGATCTTTCTAGAAACATTCAGCAGGGTCAATGGTCGTATCGACTTAACTGGGCCACGAGTTTTACCAGGCTTAGCCAGTGGTGTGAGGATGCCTGCTCCTATTGCTTCAATGTGAATGTTTTTCTCGAAAGACTCGTTGAACACTTTAGCCAGCTCTTTATGAAGGAGGGGGTTGTTCAGGGCTTTCATGACCTCGCCAGGAACTTTATCAATACCCACTGCTTTACCAGACTTGAGTTTACTGATGGCTCTCTCTATCTCTGCAACGGTGATGGGACTGTTAAGGCTAGATGGGGGGTCAAGGAAGGCAGGAAGGGTAGGCTCATCAGCGTCGTTGAACTCAGCTTCAAAGTACTTCTAATAATCCTCGCTTTCTCCTCATTAGTACCTGCGATATTCCCAGCAGAGTTGTGGACGGTTAGAGCTGGTCTAACATATCCTTTGGCGAGTATCTTAGAGGCTCCAAAGTATCTCCGGGCGTCGTCTGTGTTGTTTACCTCTTCGACGAGTGTGTCAGCACTGCGGTTGTTGATATCTCTGAGTCTCTTAGTCTTTGTAATCTTACGTCTTAGCTGGTTGATGTTGGTCTTGACATGCTTCCTGTTGGTCGGTAATTTGTTCTGCATATTCGCAATCATCAGCTGCTTGCATTCAAGTGACAGTTCAGCGATCTCAGGATCAGTACTGAAGGATTTGTGCTTTTTTTAGCCAGTTGTTTGGCCATAAGAGGTAGCCTCCCTAGTCTTGGGACATCAGGAATGTCCGAGGAAGAGATTATTGAGGAACATCTATTTTCATTACTGAATAATGATGTATGTCGTGATATAATGAAGATTCCTCAACCGTATGATGTTAATCGTATTACAAGTGAAGTTCTAAAATATATGAACGACGATAAGGACTCGGCTGCACTATAGTGAAAATTATTTTAATGATAGACTAGACTTTTATATTCAGGTTAAATGATATAAGTAACTTCAAATTAGAACCTCAAGTTCTTTTATTTACGTTATTACAGTAACACCTGTAATGAAAAATTGGCGAATTTTTACTTCATTGACACTGTTTTTTAATTTTTTAATATAATATATTGACACATTGTTTGAGCGTTAACTTTTACATTGAAACATCATTAGACGTGACTCTTTTTAACTTTGTAATATAATATCGTGACAAATTGACTCATTGTTTGAGCGATAACTTTTATGAAATATCATTAGACACTATTTTAAATTTTGTAATATAATATCGTGACACAGTGACTCTTTGTTTAAGCGATAACTTTTATGAAACATCATTAGAATTTTATTCAGTTATTAATTCATTACGCGACGATTAGTATCACTAGATTTAATGATATAGATTATCATAGCCCTATTTTCAGTGTTGACACTGTGAATGGAATCTGTTGTTTTTTAAAAATTATTTATGAATCAGCTGTTTATATTTCTATGAATTATAATTTATTATTGTAATGATCAAATGTATCAATTATTTATCGGTTGTACCTATGTTATATGACTGTTTTACTCTTGTCATGGGCATTCCTATATTCCTACATGTAATGACTAGTGAACAAAAATACCAACGCATGACCTAAAAGTAAACTAGTCTAGAATATTCACTCCATTGCAATTTCAACCCAAATTTGAATTTATGTTAAAAAAGTTAAACTTTCTAAGCCTGAATTTTGAAATTTAACATTAATTAGTTTAACTTTTTTAACTTTTTTTAACGTGGACCCCCCCCCCTCTGCTACCCCCTCCCCCCTCTGCTACCTCCTCCCCCCTCTGCTACCTCCTCCCCCCTCTGCTACCTCCTCCCCCCTCTGCTACCTCCTCCCCCCTCTGCTACCCCCTCCCCCCTCTGCTACCTCCTCCCCCCTCTGCTACCTCCTCCCCCCTCTGCTACCTCCTCCCCCCTCTGCTACCTCCTCCCCCCTCTGCTACCTCCTTCCCCCTCTGCTACCTCCTCCCCCCTCTGCTACCTCCTCCCCCCTCTGCTACCTCCTCCCCCCTCTGCTACCTCCTCCCTCCTCTGCTACCCCCTCCCCCTTCTGCTACCCCCTCCCCCTTCTGCTACCTCCTCCCCCCTCTGCTACCTCCTCCCCCCTCTGCTACCTCCTCCCCCCTCTGCTACCTCCTCCCCCCTCTGCTACCTCCTCCCCCCTCTGCTACCTCCTCCCCCCTCTGCTACCTCCTCCCCCCTTCTGCTACCTCCTCCCCCTTCTGCTACCTCCTCCCCCCTCTGCTACCTCCTCCCCCCTCTGCTACCTCCTCCCCCCTCTGCTACCCCCTCCCCCCTCTGCTACCCCCTCCCCCCTCTGCTACCTCCTCCCCCCTCTGCTACCTCTATCTTCAGGAACCTGTGGGTGTTTGTGTCACAATTTACGCCGATTGGTTCGAAGCAACTAAAGAAGCTTTATAATAAAGCAGTTCGGCAAAGCTCCGAGAGCCAGACCAAATCTTCCAAGTAAGAAATCGAAAAAGAATGTGTCTTCCCTCGGATGTGTTTTTTTAATTTGGTTACATTTTGAACGTTGTGTTGTTGCTTCTTTTTTCCTGCGATCATGTTATACAATTCTTTTAACTCTGAACAACCTCTCCAGGAAAAGGAAAAGATGATGAATGATGATTTGCCATTTGGTCAGAATAATATTTCTTACGCGAGATGGTCCACCATGTAAATTAAAAGTGCTGCAGATGTTTTCAAGAGCGTGTTTAAATATTTATCATTTAAAGGGAGGTATTTGAATTTTATCAAAGATGATTTCCGGTCTAGTTTAGCTGCATTTATGTTCATTCGTATAAAAAAGCCCTTTCGGGACAATAAACACGGCGTGATTTCACGACCGGACCCTCCATAGTTGCGTCACCCATGAACTGGAGTAGGATTCTTTTTAACGACTTTTTATCTGCTAACGTATTTTTACCTGAGAAAAGATCATGCAAGAAACGTTCATAATCTTTCTATTGTTTTCTTTTTTTTCTTCACATTCCGTTTTGTGTTTTAAGTATGGCCCTGAAATATGTGAAATATGCTGAAAGTGTTTGAAAACTTGTCAGTTGCCATGACGACTTCATATAGTACAATTGATCTGAAGTATAAATAATTTCATTTTAGACTCATAAAAGCTGTCTCATTCAATTTTTAAAAATTTGTATCAGTTAAGTACAAACCAAATATCAATGAAACCACAATCGACAATAATCTGTACATTGTATGATATTGATAGTTCGGTTTTAAATCTATTCCGTGTCGAATGAAGATGTAATTGCGTGAAGTGATCGTGATCCAAGCAACTTTCCGTTTGTAAGGACGTACCAACACTATCCACTTACAACTGTCAATGATTTGGAATCTTCCTGTAATCAGAAATGGATCATCGAAAAAGTGCATCCCATATACAGTATAGTATGGTGCAAGGTAGAGAACTTTACCGGTAGGTTTGGGCTGGATAGACTTAAATTAAGAGACTACTATTCTAAACTACCAATTAACATAGCCCTAGAATTTTCTACCTCTATGGGAAGAGTTACTTTGTCTAACGTCGCGATACTAACTGGGCCGCGCTCAGCCTGTCATTCCGCCTAATCTCTATGAACATGATAGCCTGAGATCCCCAGGTAACGCGATACCTGAGTTTGTTAAAATTAAATCAATTTGAATTAAATATTGAATATGAAATAGCGTTTGCCGCGTGGAGTAATGGATACTGCCGCGATTTACCTAGCTTGTTTACTGGGCGGCAGTGAGTTTGTCATTCCACCGAATATCTATTGTTTATGTGTTATGAACATGATACTTATAGCCTGGGATCCCCAGTAGTAGAGGCTCTTACGGGCAAAAAGACGTGTTTTCTGCTACGAGTTTAGAGACCTAACCGCTAATTGGACACAATAGTATGATGCCTAAGGATCGATAATATGTTAAGAAGTATAAATTTGGCCTTATTAGTCACGTGCTATACCAATGCGCGTTTTAAACTTTGACAGTCTATTACTCTAAGGCAAATAAAGTAATTATATTCATATTTTGTCAGGAATAAGATCACATTATTTTCTATTTGGTGTGAAAATATGAGCTAGAACGGACATAATCTCGCTGAGTTATAGCTGTTTGAAATTTATGATGAACGCGCAGGTGCCAATTGATAACAACTAAATGCTTTTGCGCGTAGTGCGCGTCGAAAATTTGGCAAAAACGCTTGCGGAGTGACAATATTCAAATTTCGATAAAGTATATGAAGTGGGTACTTCTCGGAAAGGAAAAATTTAGGCAAACACGATGTGACTATTTTTGGGTTGATTTAATACAACTGCAAAAAATTATTCAAACTTTGAACTTCAAGCAAAAAAGTCAGAATTTTTACCACTTTTTTGGATTTTTACCCCCAAAAAAAGAGGGATTTTTCAAATTTTTATATCATCTTGTGCGGCTGTGTTTTAGCTATCTCCATGCAAGTTTTGCCGACATGCCAACAAAATTAACTTGTTCAAAATATCAAAAAACATGGTTTTTTGGCCTATTTTTTGCCCAAAAATCGGTTTTTTTGCAATTTTACCCCCAAAAAGTCAGTCCAATCATCTTTAAACCACTTTTAATCGATTCTACGGTCAAAAATACGTCTAGTAAGGTGTATCTGGGGTCCCTAGCGTATCGAGCAAACAATGCCCGTAAGAGCCTCTACTACAGGTAACCTAGCTTGCTAGTCTTTTGCAGCTCGCTAACCTAGCTTGCTAATCTATTCTTGCTTCATTCGCATTATACATATAGAATCTCGAAAAATGAACCGTGCATATTGGGATTGATGTGCCAGGTAAAAAGAGCGCCGGCCGCGCACCGGGATTGGCGTGCAATTTGGAAAGAGCGCCGGCTGCATGCGCTACACCATACACGTTTTATTTTCTTCGAAGCAGCGCGCGCCCTCTTCCAAATCTTGAAAGCTTTTGCCCAAAGCTTTTTTGCTTGCAGTTGTCTGTAGCTGTTGTAGCGCGATGCACTACTGGAAAATTTAAGACAACGTAGTTGTCTTAAATTTCCAGAATGCTAGTTTGCGCGGCACGTCGCGCGAAGCGGCGAAGTCCTCCAACGGATTTCTGTACTCTGATTGGCTGAATTGTGTTACGTGCTATAATGTATAAGCTGCTCCAACATTGGAATGCGACATGCGTGCAAATCATGCTTAATGTCGCGCGCGAGGTCAAGCCGTCTGTTTAAATTAAACCAAGTCTAGTAGTAGTATGTACATACTATGTAGTACCACCACCAGCCAGTAACTTTTGCTGGGCTTGTCTCGGGCCATTCCGAGAAGAAAGCGGCGTGCGCTACTTCGAAGGAATTTAAACGAGTAACATCCGTCAACCACATTTTTGATTTTTGTTAAACTTATCTTCGTTAATCTAGATCGGCAAAATGTATCACTGGGTCACGCCGAGCTGTGAAGGATTGACATTGTCAATGCATTCTTCGATCTAATAAATATCGGGCTGGGTTAACGAAAATGTTGACGGATGTTACTCGTCTAAATTTCTTCGAAGTAGCTACTTCGAAGAAATTTAGACGAGTAACATCCGTCAACTTTCGTGCGCCGCTTTCTTCTCGAAATATTAGTTTTGACTGACTTAACTTGACTTAAGGCGGCTTCAGTGTCCGAGTATTGATGCGCTGTCTCCATAAAACTCTATCCGCCATAAGTCCGCCCATTTCTCCAGTGTCGTTGAGACCCGTGTCAGCTCGTAGGCTATCAACATAGGTCATGGCTGGTCTCCCCCTACTCCGCGCCCCATGAGTTGGTTCCCAGAGTAGCAAGCGGTTTGCGATTAGTTCTGGGTGCCGGTGGATATGGCCTGCTAGTCGCATCCTGCGCTCTTGGATCTTCATGGTTGCTCTCGGTAGGTTGCCATAGACTTCTTTTATGTTTTTCGCTGCTTCCAATCCACATTAAGTGCCATCCTTAGCATTCTAGTGTAGCAGCCATCAATGCGTTTCTTCAATGAGCCGCACTATGGCTTCTGGTATGCCATATGCTTTCAATATCTTTATGAGCAAATGTTATGTTTTGGTATTCTATCTATAATTCGTGAGTTCTTCAGAGAATTGATACACTTGTTATAACTTGGACTTGAATCCTAGGCTAAGGATAGAAATGGTTAATAATCATTATATTACAATTCACAACATTCCTCCTTCATCTTTCAATACCTCGTGTTAGATTCAAAACAGCGCGCATAAAAATACTGGACATAAATTACTTTATAAAATTTAAAACGTTTAGCGCGTTCCATAAAATCCTTCCTCTCTCTTCTGTCATTCAAATACGTGAACATTTAAAGTTTTCGATCCCGAAATAATCAATCAATTCTGGTTTAAAAAATGCACGATGCTTAAATTATACGAAACAAAATTATTAAAAAAAACAATGTCCTTCTCAGATTTCTTACTCTGACTTGTCAATATTCAGTTAACTGTACATATTGTATAAAAATTCACCGTATAAAATTCGTGTAATACTCGAAAACAATTGTGTGTAAAATCTTAACGTTTGATCTTAACGATATTTTTCATAAGATTGTTTAGGTTTTAGAGCTAATCGCTCTGACCTGCGAGTTTGGTTAGTTTCTTGTGCTTCACCTGAACTGGGGTTATTGTTAGTTAACTCTGGTTCGTTCGTTCTGAGAGGTGTGTTAGGTAAATCAACTTCAGTTAATTGTTCTGACGACACAACCGTACTAGAATTAGGTAAAGTAAAACATTCAGTCTCTGGAGAATTGTCATTTTCCGACGTCTCTGCTTGTTGTAGTACCGAAACTGATCTTTGCTTGATATGGTCTGCGTGTTTAATCACGTTTCTTCCGTCAAACATAACTTCGTACATGTTAGAGTTCCCGATTCTTCGTTGAATTTCTCCTTGACTCCAAGTGTCTTTGTTTTGTGGTTGCACATATACTTTCTGCTTGTCTTCAAACTGGCGGTTTCTGATTCTGCTGGCATTCAGTATTTCCTGTTCTTTATCCACGTTCAATCTTTCAGACGTTTCACGATCTGCCGGAAATACGTGATTCAACCTTGTTCTTACATAGAGCTTCTTAAATAGTGCTTCAGACGGTGGTATCCCAGTAACGCTGTGCGGAGTGATTCTGTAGTTAACTAAGAAATTTGCTAGATTCTTGTCGACATCTTTACAATTTTCATACATCTTTTTCATCGCGTCTTTGAATGTTCCTACAAATCTCTCACAGCATCCATTAATTTTTGGGTGATACGTTCCTGTCTTTAAGTGGTGTATGTTGTTCCTCTGCAAGAAATCTTCGAATTCCTGTGAAGTAAAGTTTGTTCCGTTGTCACTCACTATAACAAACGGTAGTCCGAATCTACTGAAAATGGTTCTCAAAGCTCTGATCGTTGCTGATGATGTGGTGTTATTGTTCATCTTTACCACTTCAGGCCAACGTGAATGAGCGTCATAAACTACTAACCACATGCTGTTGAGAAATGGTCCAGCGTAATCAATGTGGACTCTTTGCCAAGGCATTGATGGTCTGGTCCATGGGTGTTCAATCAAACTTGGTAAACTCTTCCCATGTTTCCCACATGTTGTGCACGTGTTAGCTATTTGCTCGATCTCTGAGTTTATTAACGGCCAATATACGTAAGATCGTGCTAATGTTTTCATCCTGCTGATACCTAGGTGTGTTGCGTGTAACATCTCCAATACCGTAGTCCTTAACTTAACTGGAATGATAACTCTGCAACCCCATGTCAAACATCCGTTTTCTATTGAAATGTCGTTTCTCCGATTCCAATAAGCGGTCATTTCATTTGTGAAATTTGTTTCTCTATCTGACCATCCATTCTTCACGTAGTGTAGAACTTTCGATAAGACAGGGTCCTTCCTGGTATGTGATTCGATGTTTTTAGCCGTTAATCCTGTATTTTCTATATCCACACTCTGTACCCAATCGTTTTCTGTTTCCTTTTCATCTTCTGGGGTGTGTGGTCTTGGTAGTCTCGATAACATGTCAGCGTTCCCATGGGCTTTGGTTGATCTGTAGCAGATATCATAGTCGTAATCCATGAGAAATAATGACCATCTGGTTAATCTTGCTGCGGTCATGACTGACAGTTGCTTGTTTTTGCTGAAGATGTGTACTAGTGGCTGGTTGTCGGTTATCAATTTAAACTTCCTTCCATACAGGTACAAATGGAAACGTTTAACAGCCCACAAAATCGCTGCTGCTTCACGGTCGATTTGTGCGTAGTTCTTTTCCGCTGCAGTTAAAGTCCTTGAAATATACTCGATTGGACGTTCTGATCCATCGGGCATTGTATGTGACAGTACTGCACCCAATCCGGTCGGAGAGGCGTCAGTGTCAAGTTTCAGCGGTTTCTTAGGATCGTACAAAGTCAGCACTACATCCGAGCTAAGTAGTTCCTTTAAATTCTTCCAAGCTTCTTGTTGTCTCTTTGTCCACTTCCATTCTACTCCTTTCTTTCTGAGTTCATCTAATGGAGCAACAATCTGTGACATATTTGATAGATACCTCCTGTAGTAGTTCACTCCTGACAAGAATGATACTAATTCTTCTACTGATCGTGGTGCTCTCATGTTTAGCATATCTTCCACTTTCGACTTAACGGGTCTGATCCCGTCTTTGTTTACCTCATGTCCTAGGTAAATCACAGAGTCTTTCAAGAATTCTGACTTTTCCATCTTGCATCTGTATCCTTGGTTTTCCAATCGGCCAATAACTTCGTTGAGTATTCTCAGGTGTTCCTCTCTGTCCTTTCCGGAAACGAGGATGTCGTCCACTCTGCAACAACACATTGGTATCCCTGCCAATGTCTGATCTATGGTCTCTTGAAAAATGGCTGCTGCTGGAGAAATACCGTAGGGTAAACGATTCCACAATAACTGTCCTAAATGGGTGTTAATCGTTGTCAGTATTCTGTCTTCTTTCCTGATTGGGATGTTATTGTATGCAGCTCTAACGTCTAGTTTTGTAAACTGCTGTCCTCCCGTTACTTTGTTCAGGCACTCTTCTATAGACGGCAGTGGGTACTGCTGTGCTGCCATAGCAGGATTCAAAGTAAGGTTATACGAGCCACATATACGAGTCTTTTCTCCTTTGAACACGGGGACTATAGGTGTTCCCCAAGGGCTTGCTCCCTCTACCTTGGTTAGTGTTCCCTCGTTCAACATTCTTGTCAGCTCTTTCCCTACTTGATCCTTTTTCGCGTACGGCAAAGGTCTCACACCCAACGATTTTGGTTGAGCATCTTCTTTCAGCACTAGTTTTGCCATTGCTCCTTTGATGAGCCCCAGTCCTTCTTCAAAAATAGGACTGATTTTCAGCTCGTCTAAACTTCTCAAAGGTTTCTGAACTTCTTTCTTCTGTGTGACTGTTCCCTCGTTCATGGTTCTTTGATCACCCCTCTCTGAGGGTCTTTGTTCACCCCTCTCTGAGGGTCTCTGACTAAGAGGTAAAAGGGACACACAGGACTGGACTTCGACAGGACTAACATGGACATTACTAACATTCACAGACTTACTTACACATGGGGAAAAATCAAAACAAGAAGAAATAGCAGTCTTTGATCTCTTCAGTGTTGTCTCCAACCAGTCATCTCCTAAAAATCTGGTTATCCAAGATTGTCCCATTAATGATGGACATTTTCCTTCCACAATGAATAAGTCTAGTTTTGGAATCATCTTTCCATTGAATTCTACGTCGACTTGTGCTTTCGCCATCACTGGTAGTCTCTCATTGTTCGCTGCTCTCAGTCTTTTTGCCGAAGGTATAAGAGGAAGTAAATCTAATCCTACCTTAGACAACACATTACAACTAACAATACTTACGCTTGATCCGGAGTCAAATTCCATGTTCAAATCTCGTCCATTTAGTTTCACTGGCACTAACAGTTTTTCTGAGGAAGTATGGTTACAATTGAATTCAACAATCTCTTGATTGTCAATCAATTCTATAGAAGAAGAGTCATCACAAGCATCTAAATTTGAATCATCATACTCAATAACTGTGTCAAATTCAGAATAATCATCAGAGGGTAATAACTTCGAATAATCAAATTTGTCAATTTCAATCAATTCGTTTTCACTTTCTCTCACTCTAAACATATCTACTGATTTCTCCTCAACACAAACAAAAGCTATCTCGACGTCGCTCTCGTCATTCTCATCGGTCTCGGAAGATTCTTCAACATGGTGAGATTTATCACCTTTTCTGTACTTATAGTTCTTCTTGGTACCCGTGCAGTTTCTAGCAATGTGGTACTTCTCTTTGCACTTCCTGCATACTGTTTTACAGTCCCTTGTGTTATGACTGCGCAATGTACACTTTTCACAGTACATTTCTCCTCTTGGTTTTAAACTACTTTCTTTTCTGAAATGCTTTGATTTCCTATCCGAAACCTTATTCACAGTTCCAGAAGTTCCACTGTTTCTGACAGTAACACTATTTTTCGACATATATTGAGCTTCTTCCACAGATTTCTCTAAAGTTGCTACATGCTCTCTCGCTGTTGCTAATGTTAAATCTGTTTTCTTCAGGAGTTTCGCTTTCACGCTTTCATCACTCAGTCCAGCTATGAATTGGTCCAGCATTCTCGATTCCAACTCGTTCTCAAATTCACAGTCCATGGCAGTTTCGGTTAGTCTTTCGACATATTCTGCCACACGCTCTCCTTTCACTTGAAAGATTCGGGTGAAGGCGTATCGTTGAGCGAATTTAGTTGGTTTTGGTGAGTAATGGTTACAAAGTTTCTGTTTTATTACTTTGTACTCCGTTGTGATTATATCCTCTGGTTTTGCGAAGTGGTACGCTTTTTTGAACATTGCTGCGTCCATTGATACTATCAGCATCTGAGTCCACTGTAGCTGTACATTCCGGTCGTTTCTCCTGTCTCGCTCTGTAGTCCAGGCGGTTCTTGCCTCTACATCTGCGTTCAGGTTCTCCGGTACAACTTCAATCACTGGCTCTACGATAGCTCGCTGGTGATTAACGAACACTTCGAATTGGGTGAACCACAACCTGATGTTGGATCCGATGTTGGTGGTCAATTTCTGGTCATACATCCGCGTCGCCATTGTTATGTTTTGGTATTCTATCTATAATTCGTGAGTTCTTCAGAGAATTGATACACTTGTTATAACTTGGACTTGAATCCTAGGCTAAGGATAGAAATGGTTAATAATCATTATATTACAATTCACAACAGCAAACCTCTATGCACACTATCGAACGCCTTTTTGAAATCAATGAAAACCATGGTGGCCTTGAGATTTTTGGCTCTAGCACCCTCCATAATTCTTCGTAGAGCAAGGATGTGCGATGTTGTAGAGCGCCCAGGTCTAAAGCCATTCTGGTTGTCCCTTAAAACTTCCTCAAGACTTGGCTTCATCCTGTTCAGCAACATTTTGTTCAGAGTTTTACTGACTATCGATGTCAGAGATATTCCTCTGTAGTTGTCGGTCTTAGTGAGGTCCCCTTTCTTTGGCACAGGAACAATATTGCTGAGCTTCCATTGATCGGGCATGAGACCATCACATAATGCATCGTTGCAGAACTTCAGGATGACGTCATCGATGTCCACCCTCTTCATCACTTCAGGTGAGATACCATCATCACCATAAGCTTTGCCTTCTACTATCTGCTTTTTGGCAAGACGTAGTTCCTCAATGGTGAACGGGCCATCCTCTATATTCAGTGGAGGGTGTATATTCCTGATCGGAATGCTATTGTCAGGGACTGTGGGTGGCTGTCCAAGTAACCCAGAGAAGTGCTTCCTCCAGTTCTCAAGACGTTCTGTTGAGCTGCCCCCTTCCACGAGTCCACAGCTGGGATTTGTCCTCCCTGAAATATCGTTGACAAGCTTCCAGCTTTCCTTGTTCTTACAACGATCAGCAGTATCCTCAACTTTCCTGATCTTTCCTTTCAGGATCTCCTCCTCTACCTCTTTGTAGCAGGCCTTTAACAAATCCTTTTTAGTGGCGACTTCCTCTCTCTTCTCCTCACAAGGCTCCTGATGGTATTGGTCCTTGGCCAAGAACAGTCCCCTCCTTGCACTGTCCACTCTTGGGTCACTTGAGGGGTCAATCTGCTTTTGTCGAGTCTTCTTTGGCAGAAGGCTCTTGTTTGCCGCCTCAATAGCAACCATAAGCTTCCCGTAGCTTTCAGTGGCCCCATCATCCTTCTCTACCAGGCCAGAGAATCTATTCCGAACTTCAATTGCATACTTTTTTTGAAGCTCACCATCCGACTTCAGGGCACTATAATCATAGTTAACTTTTTTCGGAGGCCTGTGTCCTTTCCTAAAGCTAACTTTTATTTGATCTTACACACTACAACTCTGTGATCAGATCCCAACGACTGAAAAGTGTTGTAAACTTCAGTGTTCTTTAATGAGTTTTTCCACTTCCGCCGTATGAGGATATAGTCAATCTGACCTTTGTTAAGTGTCCCATCGGATAAGAAGGTCCACCTCTTGTTGACCTTCTTTCTGAAGCGGATATTGGTAATTTCCATATCACACTCCAGGGCAGTGTCTCTCAGTAGCTCTCCATTCCGATTGGTACGAGTATGAAAGTACCAACGGGAATCTTCTTCACTCTCCTTTCCAAGCCGGGCGTTCATATCTCCCTCTGTGATCAGCAGGTGGTGCGCTGGCACATCATTCATAGCCTGTCTAAGGGTGTTATGGAAATCCTCCGCTTCTTCAACTAGTGCTGCCTCGGTAGGACTATAGGCAGTTATAGTTGTGAGTCTGGGATTTCCGTTGAAAGAGATAGTCAGCACCCTTGAGCCATAGGGTTTAATGAGGCTGATTGCGCTGTATGCTCTTCTAGTCAGCAGAAAGCCCACTCCACCAGTGGCTGCTCCTGCTCCATTCCTCCATGCTGAAACAGTTACCAAGCTAACCCCCTCCTTGAACTTTTCGATCTTGATCGGTTCCTGGTGGACAATCCTATGTTCTTGGATCCCAAGGATCTCCATGCCACTCTCCAGAAACTGAGTCACGAGTTCAAGGCGCTTGTAACCTTCTCTAGCAGTTCGGACATTAAATGTCCCTACTAGAGCTACCTCACTACAAGAAACCAATGCATCCCCATCCTTTTTTTGTTGTTTTATGTTATTTTTTGTGCCGGGTGAAGGTGCCGGCATATCATCTGTCACCCCTCTCCTAGGGAGTTTTAGGGTGAGAGAGTCATCAATCCGGTCCCCTCCGACATCTAAATCAGTGGTAGGGACTTTAACCCTAGTGTTATTATAAGACATCATCAAACTTTTCAATGGCTGGTGTCTCATGCGCAGTCCCCTGCACATCAGGCGAAGTGAGACACCTACTTAACGCCGGGCGCCACTTGAGCGTTAAATGACTTATCCATCTTGGCCACGTGAGTAACAACTTCCGCTAGAACACTTGTTGCTACTAATCAGTAAGAGTGGGTTTTGTGATGATGTCCTGTCGTTGTATTATTCCTTCTTTCTTCACCAATTCCAGTAAATGACTATACACTTTTGTCCCAAAGCTTAGGGAGATTAGAGTGTGAGCCAAGGCTCCACTTTTACGGGAGCTAACCTTCCCCCTGACTACCTCGTTACCCCAGGCATGGGGGGCCGATCCTGTTACCAGAGCGTGGTCCAGTTTACCTGGGTCATAGAAACAAGGTCAGAGGCAAACGGCCAATACCTCTTTAGCTACTGTTCACTCCACAGCCGGGATAGTCACTGATTCTCTGCACCTCTCTTCTCTTGAGGTTTAGAGTTAGGAGACAATTATGTGATCCAATAATTGAAATCCGCGGGGGTCAGTGAGCCTCCCGTCGCCCTTCGCTGCCTTTAGCCTGGAGATCACCACTGTTCATCCAGTTTCCAGTCTTCACCACGAGGAGGTATCAGGATAGTACTTGTTGTGGAGAGGCTTCATCTTGCTGTTCGATGTGGTACTGGAAAAGGGCACCAACGGGGTAGCCCTTTTTCGAGGTTCTGGCTGCTACAGGCAGATCCAGGGTCTCTATCCAGCGGTGACGCTTTGGGTCACCTGCGCTTCACACAACCATTGGAAGACCATTAGTTTTGGCCCGATAGCAAGTGCTACGAAGTAGCGCACGCCAGGCCAGACCATTAACAATGGTCAACGAAAATGTTTGCAGTTTCTCGCTTGCAGTATCACGCGACCGCCGAAGGCTATGTGAACGAAAATGTAGTTGCGAGAAGAATTTATATAATTGGATGCGCGGCGCAGCTCATTGCGCTGTAAGTAGTATTTGTATACTTTTACTTTATATAAACTTAAAGCGAGACGATATATATCCATGTCATTTTACTGACACCACGGCATCAACTTTACCACGACTTTCCGCAAAAACCTTAACGGGTGATACTCGTAAAATATCTGTCGAACTCGGCGCGCGTCCTGCATGGTACGTTTTGGACCCCAACACCAAGTGGTGTCAAAAATGCGAATTAAATAGGTAATAATTATTTTAGTCTCTTGAGTCTTGACACCATTTAGGGTTATATTATACGGGTTCCTGCTAGTATGTTTAAAGCTTAAACAAACATGGTTTAATTGTCAGTTTTAAAGGCTGTTGCTTCCAAGAGGGCTGGGATAAATTAATAAAGTTTTGAGTATGACTAGGCAGTTTGGAGTAGTACACTCAAAGTTATGACTGCTTGACTGCTAATCTGAACAGCTCAAAACATCCACGAAATAGTACCAACCAACAAAAAAGAAATAATCATCAACTGAGTATTACTATTATATACGATTTATCTGTGTGGAAGTTTTGTTGATTCTGATAAGTAACAAGTTTAAAGGACCAGTTAACTGAAAAATTTGTAGTCTCCAATTTGGCTAAGATTTAAATCAGCTGTGACAAACTGGTAAAGAATCGTATCGCCGGAAGAACCAACTCTCTAGCGTACGTGTAACGCGTTTTATTGCAATAATAAGCTGTGGCCTCGTGACGTCATAAAGTCCCTCAGTGCGCGCTTGCATAGCGTAATTTACATTACAAATTTTTATCATCGTCAATAAAACACGTGTAACTCACTTAAATTATAGAATTATGACTATTGTCGGCCTGTGTTCCGAGGCAATGATACTCCACTGGGTATAGTAAAAGAGTGTTCAAAGGATTAACACAAGCACATGTAGTTAACAATATATCCTGAGAGATAACAAAGTTAAGGTAACAGTATATAAGCCAAAGGTCCTATAATATAAACTAAAGGTGTAATATATAGGACTGGAAATATATAGCCTGACATTACTCTCCCCTTTAAAAAAATCTACCTCCCTTCAAAGTGAATGCATAAAAACTTTATAAGATCCTATAAGTGCTCAATATTTATATGAAATAGATATAATAAAGTCTCCCAGGATTAAATTCTCAAATATTGTCAAATAAATCAAAAAATACAAATAACCCATGCGCATGGGAATTCAATAGTCAAAATAACTTATTTATAAAAATTGACTTAAAATTAGCAAATTCGTAGAAAAATATAAATTTCAATGATAAATCTGTTTTATCTTTCCATTCAATAATAAAATTGTATCCTTTCAATAACATATTCAAGTTTATAAATTTATAAATTGTGTGACCTATAACTGGTCGATTAGTCTATTTGGGGGCCTGACTACCCTCCCTGATCTGGTGGTTGTAGTTGTTGAGGGTTCTGTAGGTGGGGATGATGGTGCCGGCTGTGGAGCTGATGGGGCAAATACTGCACTCGTTGGCATGTTGAAAACATTGTTCGCAAATTGTTGCCGATCTATCAGTGGTAAGTTACGCTGAGGGAGGCTATTATCAACATAAACTTTTCCTGCTGGTGCCTGAGGGTTTTGTACCGGAACTGAGCTACCCATAACCATAGAGGCATCCTGCTTCGTGCCTGCAGGCTGAATCTGGTCGTGATGAACTACCTTAGATTTGCCGGAAACGAAGTTTACAATTCCCCAGCAGTTTTTTCCAATCTTCTTGGAGATCTGGAAAATTTCATCCCATATTGGATTCATCTTGGGATATTCACCATGGTTTCTTTTTAGAAGAACCCAGTCCCCGACCTGGTATTCGTTGACGTTAGTAGTCTTGTTAGCCTGTTTCTGATAGCTTAGTCGAGACTCCTGCTTGTTGAGAGGGATGTTTTGCCTAACCAACCGTGTGTCTTGAGCTTCTTTTTGATTAACACCCAACCTATTGTCGATTGGCAAGTTTGCTGACACTCCGTAAGCAGCCTCGAAAGGAGAGAATTTCGAAGATTTGTTTTGAGTGTTATTAAACATCAATATAGCTTCTGGCAGGAGCTCATCCCATTGAGTAATAGGGATGCCTCTAGATAGACACATAGATCGCAAAATTGTTTTGAGGGACCCAATAGCTCTTTCTGCACTGCCATTACCAGCTGGATGATATGCAGAAGATCGGAGCTTTTTGATTGCAAATTCTTCACACAGTTGTCTAACTTTGGTGCCATCGACATTACTTCCCTGATCTGATTGCAGTAATTTAGGAAGCCCATAGTAGCTGAACCATCTGCACCATAATGCGTCCACGACTGTCTCAGCCCGTGCATTAGGTAAAGCTATTGCTGTCATCAGCTTGGTAAATATATCTGTCACCAAAAGAAAGTTTCCGTTGCCTCTCCTGGACACAGGCATGGATGCTAGATCCATAGAAATCATCTCGAAGATCTTCTCAACCTCTCTATGATCCTGCACTGGTGCTTTAGGCTTAGGTCCATGTTTGCACTGTGTACATGTTCTACAGTTAGAAACAAAGGACTCCACTTGTTTTCTCATACCCCTCCAATAGAACCTTTCAGATAGCATCAGGCAGGTATCGATTCCTGGGTGGCCTTGTCCGTGGTATTCTTGGATGATCTTTGGGGCAATTCCCTGAGGTACAATGACTCGGGAGCCTTTGCATAGTAGGTTATTAGAGACTTTCAGGTTCAAGAATTTCCTGAATAAGCCTTTATCCACGATCTTGTCCTGACGGAGTGATTCTATTGCTTCAGCAATATCTTTGTCTCTCATCTGAGCCTCTCGGAGCAGATTCTCCCCTAACACAAACACTGAAGGGTCTTCTGATGGGGCATCACTCCCCATTATTCTGCTCAAGTAATCTGCTTCCTGGTTGTCCGCTCCCTTCAAGTACTTGATGCAGTAATCAAGATTCTCTAACTCTAATATCCAACGGCCGATTTTCCCTCTGGGATCTTTCTGTCTATGAATGTTCCTCAGTGGCTCATGATCCGAATAGAACGTGATCTTTTCATAGCAAAAAGCTTTCCACTTTCTGCTAGCACTTATGATACCATAAAGTTCTCGCTCTGTAGCAGACCAGTTCTTTGTATTCTTCTGGTTAAGGGTCTCGGAGTGATAACCAATGGGTTTGAACGAACCATCCCCATCATACTGCCCAAGCACACTCCCCACTGCAATCTTAGAAGCATCTGTTCTTATCACAAATGGCTTAGACCAATCTGGTATGAACAGCGAAAGAGCAGCATGAAAGGTGGTCTTTAACTTGTTAAATGCAGCTTGTTCTTGACTTGTCCAAACAAACGGGACCTTTGACGATGTTAGGCGATTCAACGGGGAACATATCACAGAGTACCCATCAATAAATCTGCGATTATAATTGGCTAAGCCCAAGAAGCTTTGTAACTCTTTCCTTGTAGTGGGAGCCGGGAATTTTTTAATCTTAGCCATGTTTTTGGTTCCTGGTTTCAGGGTTTTCCCATCTATCCTGAATCCTAAAAATTGGATCTCTTGGTACGCAAACTCACACTTGTCCTTTCTCAGTGACATGTTGTTGCTCTCCAGCACTTGCAGCAGGATCTCAAGGGTATTGATATGTTCTTCCATGGATGTGGAGCACACAATCAGGTTGTCAACATACGCATCTAGGCCGGTTGCACCCTTTTCCTTGCACTCCTCTACAATCTTGTCCATACACCTCTGAAACGTTGCCTGTGCATTC